CACAGCTTCACACTACATGCTGGTAAACTCCCACTGCAGCGCTACAGTAATATCTTTATGAGCTGGCTGTTGAACTGATCCATCCAAACATGGAAGGCGCAACGACAAGAGAAAAGTTGACCTGTCATTCAGTCAGGACCACTTTCTTTAGATGTACTGCAGTAAGGTCTCCCTGCGTACCTGGGTTGTTGGCGTTACTGTTGCCTTTCTGTCTGCTCCAACCAGTGGCCTGCGCTACGAAGGGAGTTCAGCCAGCTCAGGGTAAACTACAAAGGTGGATCAGAGGTTGTTGGTGCGCGTTCGTATAAAAAGAGGCAGAGGAACGCACGTTGGCAGTGTCAGGAAATTCTGAATGTAAAGACACGTTAACGGCTAAATATCGTGGCGGCCGACAAAGCCAGGGAGGGTTGTCATAACACCAATAAAATACACTTATGAAACTAACCATAAAATCCCCTAGCCCTAAGCCTTCTCTCAAAATACAGAAAAACCATCCCTAACTAAAAAGAAAAGTTGGTTGCTTCCCGAACCCAGACAGGGGTCTGATTCCACAGCCTGATGGCTAAAGGCTCTGGCTCCCAATCTGCATCTAGGGACCCTCGGTACTACAAGCAGCGCTGCATTTAGGGAGCGCAGTGTTCTAGTGGGGCAGTATGGTGTAAGGAGTTCTTTCATATAGGATGGTGCCTGACCAATTAAGGGCTTTGTATGTAAGGAGAAGTATTTTATAATCAATACTCAATTTTACCGGGAGCCAGTGCAAAGTTACTAAAACAGGGGTGATATGATCTCTCCTGCTGGTTCTAGTCAGTATGCGTGCAGCAGCGTTTTGTATTAACTGGAGAGACTTAAGAGATTTTTCTGAGCAGCCTGAAAGCACGGAGTTCCAGTAGTCAAGCCTTGAGGTAACAAGTTTCTCTGCATCATCTCCATGCAGAAGGTTTCTAATTTTCACAATATTGTGAAGGTGAAAATAGGCGGTCCTTGACGTTTGCTTTATGTGTGAGTTAAAAGACAGGTCTTGATCAAAAATAATAAATAGCTAACTTTGTTAACTTTGAGCTAACAGTCGTGTGGAGCTAACTTTGAGCCAGCTAACAGTCGTTTTGAGCCATAGTCTTTTCGAGCTAACATTCCTTTTAAGCTAAGTTGGAGCTAACAATCGTCTTGAGCCAACAGTCATTTCCTAGCTTAGCTATTTTCCAGATAAGTCATTCCAAGCAGTCATCTTCTAACTAATTTGGTTTGAGCTATAGTCGTTTTCCGGTAAACGTTTGTTTCTACTTAAGTCGTTCAAGCTAACAGTCGTTTCCTAGCTAAGTCTTTCGATAAAAATTAGTTTTGAGCTAACATTCCTTTCAAGCTATCATCAAGCTAACAGTAGTTTTGAGTAGTTTTATTGAGCTAACCTTCAGCTAACAGTAGTTTTGAGTAGTTTTTTCGAGCTAACCTTCAGCTAACAGTAGTTTTTAGCGAACAGCATTTCGAGTGAACAGTTGTTTCGAGTGAACAACCGTTTCAAGTTAACATCCAGTTAACAGTCGTTTCCATTCATTTTAAATCATGTCGTTCCGAGCTAATGCTGTCACAAGGGATAGTAGTTTCAAAGCAAGTCATTCAAAACAAACGTCAAATTAAACTAAAGTTAGTTCTGACTGAACAATTGTTTCAAAAATTAAGGGGCTTTGGCTTCTTTAAGCAGCCTAGTCGGGATGGGGTCTAAGAGGCAGGTTGATGGTTTAGATGGAAAGAACTGTGAGTGCTTAGGCAAAATTACTGTAAGAATAAGTGTTTAGCGGACAGTTGGCCACTGTAATCTAACAAATGTAACTGTTATTTAGCGAGAGCAGCACAACACGGTACCAACACACAAGCACCGGAAACGGAAATGAGTCGACACGCTTACCGCAGTACGTCAGCACGTCAGCAACCTCGTGACAGGTAAAGGAGTCAGGAGTAAACTTGATCCAGATGTTTTAGCCAACTATAGACCTATATCTAACCTTCCATTTCTCTGGAGAAAGCAGTTGCTAAACATCTGTGTGACTTTCTACAGAGCAATAGTTTATTTGAGGATTTTCAGTCAGGATTTAGAGCTCATCATAGCACAGAGACAGCACTGGTGAAAATTACTAACGACCTCCTTATTGCATCAGACAAAGGACTTGTCTCTGTACTGGTTTTGTTAGATCTTAGTGCTGCATTTGATACCATTGACCATCAGATCCTATTGCAGAAAATGGAACATTTCATTGGCATTAAAGGAACCGCTCTAAGCTGGTTTAAGCCCTATTTATCAGATCGATTTCCGTTTGTACATGTTAACGATGAGTCCTCCATGCATGCCAAAGTTAGTCATGGAGTTCCACAAGGATCTGTCCTCGGACCAATCCTCTTCACTTTATATATGCTTTCTTTAGGCAATATTATCAGGAAATATCCCATAAGCTTTCATTGTTATGCAGATGATACTCAGTTATATCTATCTATCAAACCAGATGAAACTCATCAGTTAGCTAAACTTCAAATGTGCCTTCAGGATGTTAAAACCTGGATGACCTGTAATTTTCTAATGTTAAACTCAGATAAAACTGAAGTTATTGTTCTGGGGCCTGAGCACCTCCGTGACGCATTATCTAAAGATATAGTTTCCCTTGATGGCATCGCCCTGGCCTCCAGCACCACTGTGAGGCATCTTGGAGTTATCTTTGATCAGGACATGTCATTTAAGTCTCACATTAAGCAAATTTCAAGGACCGCCTTTTTTCACCTGTTAATTTGGCCCATTTAGCTGCCTCTTGTGCCAACACTTTTTTCTTTTTATCTCTTATTTTTGTCGGCCCCACCCATTTCTTTCTCTTCTTTCCTTCTTTTGGCCATTTTTACCGTCCCGTTTCTGTTGCATTCACACAAACCCAAACCTGAGTGAAAGTAAAGTCCTTTGATCGGCGACTTTGAGCCAATCGGATGTCAGGAAAAACGGGGACCAGTCAAAGTTGGGAGTGGCCGCTCGTATTCCCCCTCAAGAATGAAAGTATTGGTTTGGCCCAGTCTGAAACACACACACACATGGAATGGACCGGCCGTTCGGGATTGTTCCCGGTATTCCCGATTGCCAATCCGCTCCTGGAGCACTCGTGGCTTTGGCCAAGCTGGAGGCAAAGAAGTGACAAGAGCAGCTGCACAATCATAGGTCATAGTTTATATACTGTATCAAAACTTTTGGTAAATTTTCAATAATGAGCATTGGCACCACAAGTGTGTGGCTTCTCTGCTTGTTTTTGTCGACTAGCAGCTCATTAATATGGAGGTCTTGAGCACTCAAGAAGACACATTATACATACATATTATTGAACCCATGTCAGACTGAACATCAGCAGAGACAGAACATTATAAGCTTCGTACAGGTCCATTTCATGGCGGGGCTGGTGGTTGTTCTGTTTGGCTTTTGTTATAATTACATTTTCTTCTTTACAGAAAGGAAGCACCACTCTAACGGAGATGTGATGGTGAACCACGTTCAGAACATCCATGAACACAGCACGCTGGAACCAGTTGCGGTTAAAATGATTAGCGGTCCAGTCTTCAGTGGTGCTGGTTGGTGCCTGGTTTGATTTAATTTCAGTGCCTCCAGAAAGAAAATGTTGTGGAGGTAAATTTCCCAGATTGTGCAAAGAATTAGGAAAATTTTATAAATGGAAATTTATCACATTTACTAACATTTGTACTGAAGTAAATCGCAGCTAATCCTGTAGGGTAAAGATTCTGTTTTGAAACAGCCATTTTGGAGAGTAAAAACACGTCATCAACAAGACGTTACTAACTTCATGAAGATATCATTTATTGCAGGGCTGTTTTACTGGACCGCAAAGGTTTTCGCTTGGTGAACCTTATTAAAAGAAACTAGTTTTTACTGGACATGGATATTCTGTGCGGGTAAAAAGCTAACGGCACTTTTTCATCAGAAGGTGGCAGCGTTGCCTCAACACTTACAAGAAGAATTTGGTCTTACAAATGTTCCATATGTGGTCTTTACTTCTGGGTTTTTTCACACATGTACAACTTGTGAACTGCACGATCTGCCTTTTCCACAGGTTTCTCTCCGTACGTCTGCATTTCAACCACGATGGAAGCTGAGAGGTTGCTCTGATGGTGTGTTATATTCTATAAACATGTTTTTCCTTTCCCCAGCATGCGCATCAGCCCTCACGGAGTCCACTGCACCTGCCCCGCTTAGCAGATCGGCCAAAAGATCAACGGCTCAAGATCAAAAGATCTTTATGAATGAAGGCAAAGCCAGATCAGTCCAACAATTAATATTATCCTGGGCCAAAGACATCCTCAGTCACATTTGTCTATTTGGAAGTTATCTAAACAACATCTCTAAAAGAGAGATTTAATCTGGTAAACAAATATGTCTCAGCCAACACAGTGCAAGAAAGTATTTTGTTCTGTCACCGTACTCAGTGTGTATTTTCGTGTGGAGCATTTAAATGTGTTCTATTATTGACAAAATAGCACAGTTCAACAGAGCGATCGAGTTAAAAGTGGCTGGAGGGCGCCTTTCAATATTACAACACAGAACAACAAAATCCCAACAATACGCACAGACCGAGGACTTTAGGCAGCTTGTTGTAGGTCGGCAGTGAGATCTGACCTCAGTCTGACACGGTGCTAATTAATATTTAATGTAACATTGAGGGTTCAAATCCTGATGAGTGGGGTTTCTTCCTATAATTAGTGTTATATAAACACAACAACTTCATTTATTTGAAACTAACACAGGATGAAAACAGTTTAAATCCCTTCAGAGCCACTTCTTTATGAAACTGGCCGGTCCAGGTTCAGTTTGTTGGTTCAGGAGAGGGTTTTTTTTAGGTTTTCTGATGAAACACCTGTGCAGGAGCTGGAGCCTGAACTAGCTGATCACTGTCTGCTGGGCTGCAACAGGAAGTGACGTCACATGTCGAGTCACACAAGGTGCAGCTGCTGAGTATAAAGGAACGAGCAGGAGAGTTTGTTCCCGTGAACAGAGCTGATCTGTGTTCAGAGCATCGACGCCTCACACCAAACAGACGAGAACTCACAGACAGAGTGCATGATGGGACTGAAGACGCTGCTGCTCGTCTCTCTGCTCGGCGTTCTGGGTAAAAGTTTCTTCTTCTTTAACACGGTTTAATGTTGGAAAGGGGCCACGCTGGATTCCTCCTTTTCCAAACCACCAGTTTTCAGCCTGGGAATTTCTGTAAGCTGTGGCCGCTGAGGGCACGCAGCAGCTTGTTCAGCGCTGAATTTAACCGCTTTTCTTGTTGTTTGGACGCAGTTTTAGGAACAGAAGCATGATAAGGTCACACACTGGTGTCTAAAGAGGAAACTCTGCAACATAAAACTCCTCAGTCAAACAGAAACGAGCTTCTCTTTCAGCTCTGAGCATCAAATCCTGAAGCTGCAGATAGTTAGTGGAGAGAAACTAAAGAGAACTCGTGTTAAATGTTTAGTGAAGCGATGGACGTGTGAAAAGGAGACGAGGGTTTGAGTTTGTGATCACTGCAGCTGCCAGAAGTGGAGTCAGTTAGAATCTGCTGGGGTGTCATGAAATATTTTCCAAGCAGCAAAACTTCCACTGACTGAAATACTTCATTTTGAAGACGACTGATCATCAGATTTTCTGAACTGTTATGGTTTGATCTTTAAAGCAGCTAACTCTGTCAGAGAAATGTACTGTAGTAGAAAGTGGTAAAGTACAAACTCGGACGTCCTGCAGACTAAAATCTATCAGCACAAACTCTAGTGAAGCGAGTGTTGAAGACAAACGCCACTCTAAGGTCAGAGGTGACGGTCTTCCCCTCCCCCTGCAGCGCTGGAGGTGGCGGGGGCCAGCGCCAGTTGCATACCTGGAGGTCTGTGCCCCAGCAACAACAATGACCCCAACCTCCAGAAGGCCCTCCTCGTCGCCACCAACTACTACAACACCCAATCAAAAGACTCCTTCCTCTACAAAATCTCCTCCATCAAAAAGGCAGAGCGTCAGGTACGACACAGGAAACGTTTCATGTGCACTCTGTGGGGTCAAAGGTTTCCTCTAAACGTGTCCTTAATGGTGTAGCTGAATCCATGACGACATTTATCAGTTGATTCCGATTTTCTGTTATCGGAAGGAGGCGAACAACGTAATCAACTAAAGTTCTCAATGTAGCGGAGTAAAAGGTTTGCTCCTGATGGTCGAGCCAGCTGAGTGTTAGTGAATGAGAGACAAATTCTAAAGCACTGTGTGACTGCAGCCATCAGCAGTTACCCAGGTGAAGTACAAGTACCTCACACTTCTACTTAAGTACAGTACTTAGTGACTCTGCTGTCTCGTGTGTTTGTGGTTCAGGTTGTTGCAGGGACTTTGTACATCGTGGATTTAGTGATTTCCAGGACCGTCTGCCGTAAACCCCCCAGCGTCCAAGATCTGTCCAAATGCAACTTTCAGGCTCCTCGCAAGGTGAGTCTGAACTGGTTCATATTACTGACCAGTCCAACAGGAGGAAGGCCAGCTCGCTGTCTGTCCAGCAGCCTCTTGTTTGGTCACTCTCTTTTTCTCTGTTCATGTTCTCTTCTGTCTCTTGCGTGCAAGATTTAAAGGTCTTTTGTTAATGTGGGAAAAACCCACTTCCTGTTGTGTTTTCCAGACGCTTCAGTGTCACGTTAAGGTTTTGGTGGTTCCCGGGCAGAAACAGACCAGGACTCTGGAGTTCAGCTGTAAAGCCTGAAACCAGCAGCTGCCTCCACCTTCATCAGCCTCCTCATCCCTGATGGTGTAGTTACCTCCACCTGTCTGCTCCTCAAATTTATTGTAAAATCTGCAATAATAAAAACACTACAAACCAATGGTACATTATGAGACTGAATTACTTTTACAGTTTCATTCATTTACTGATGTCATTAAGATGTGTTTAAATGAATGGAGCTCTATACGGTCGTCTAATTTGAGGCTTCTTCAAGATGTAAACACGGCAAATAATAGAGGAGTCATTCCTTGAAGGAACAAAGTGTAGCTTTCCGCAGCCTCTAGTGGTGAGGTTGCAGACTGCAAACGAGACCTTTCCAAGCTGGACCTCATGAGCCAAGAGTCTGACACAGCTTCACACTACATGCTGGTAAACTCCCACTGCAGCGCTACAGTAATATCTTTATGAGCTGGCTGTTGAACTGATCCATCCAAACATGGAAGGCGCAACGACAAGAGAAAAGTTGACCTGTCATTCAGTCAGGACCACTTTCTTTAGATGTACTGCAGTAAGGTCTCCCTGCGTACCTGGGTTGTTGGCGTTACTGTTGCCTTTCTGTCTGCTCCAACCAGTGGCCTGCGCTACGAAGGGAGTTCAGCCAGCTCAGGGTAAACTACAAAGGTGGATCAGAGGTTGTTGGTGCGCGTTCGTATAAAAAGAGGCAGAGGAACGCACGTTGGCAGTGTCAGGAAATTCTGAATGTAAAGACACGTTAACGGCTAAATATCGTGGCGGCCGACAAAGCCAGGGAGGGTTGTCATAACACCAATAAAATACACTTATGAAACTAACCATAAAATCCCCTAGCCCTAAGCCTTCTCTCAAAATACAGAAAAACCATCCCTAACTAAAAAGAAAAGTTGGTTGCTTCCCGAACCCAGACAGGGGTCTGATTCCACAGCCTGATGGCTAAAGGCTCTGGCTCCCAATCTGCATCTAGGGACCCTCGGTACTACAAGCAGCGCTGCATTTAGGGAGCGCAGTGTTCTAGTGGGGCAGTATGGTGTAAGGAGTTCTTTCATATAGGATGGTGCCTGACCAATTAAGGGCTTTGTATGTAAGGAGAAGTATTTTATAATCAATACTCAATTTTACCGGGAGCCAGTGCAAAGTTACTAAAACAGGGGTGATATGATCTCTCCTGCTGGTTCTAGTCAGTATGCGTGCAGCAGCGTTTTGTATTAACTGGAGAGACTTAAGAGATTTTTCTGAGCAGCCTGAAAGCACGGAGTTCCAGTAGTCAAGCCTTGAGGTAACAAGTTTCTCTGCATCATCTCCATGCAGAAGGTTTCTAATTTTCACAATATTGTGAAGGTGAAAATAGGCGGTCCTTGACGTTTGCTTTATGTGTGAGTTAAAAGACAGGTCTTGATCAAAAATAACTAATAGCTAATAATAAATAGCTAACTTTGTTAACTTTGAGCTAACAGTCGTTTTGAGCCAACAGTCATTTCCTAGCTTAGCTATTTTCCAGATAAGTCATTCCAAGCAGTCATCTTCTAACTAATTTGGTTTGAGCTATAGTCGTTTTCCGGTAAACATTTGTTTCTACTTAAGTCATTCAAGCTAACAGTCGTTTCCTAGCTAAGTCTTTCGATAAAAATTAGTTTTGAGCTAACATTCGTTCCGAGCTAACATTCCTTTCAAGCTATCATCAAGCTAACAGTAGTTTTGAGTAGTTTTATTGAGCTAACCTTCAGCTAACAGTAGTTTTAGCGAACAGCATTTCGAGTGAACAGTTGTTTCGAGTGAACAACCGTTTCAAGTTAACATCCAGTTAACAGTCGTTTCCATTCATTTTAAATCATGTCCTTCCGAGCTAATGCTGTCTCAAGGGATAGTAGTTTCAAAGCAAGTCATTCAAAACAAACGTCAAATTAAACTAAAGTTAGTTCTGACTGAACAATTGTTTCAAAAATTAAGGGGCTTTGGCTTCTTTAAGCAGCCTAGTCGGGATGGGGTCTAAGAGGCAGGTTGATGAAGAAATTATTGAAGTTAGTTGGTAAAGATTGAGGGAAGCTGGAACTGTGTACATGGAACCGGCCGAGTGGAGCTGTGTAATGGGAGCGGCAGAGTGGAGCTGTGTGTGGCTGTGTGCTCGGGAGCAGCAGAGTGGAGCTGTGTGGGGCTGTGTGTTCGGGACCAGCAGAGCGGAGTCGTGTACAAGGGAACGGCCGAGTGGAGCTGTGTGCTTGGGACCAAGCAGAGAGTGGAGCTGTGTGCCCGGACCAGCAGAGTGGAGCTGTGTGCTGGGGAGCAGGGACCAGCAGAGTGGAGCTGTGTGGGGCTGTGTGCTCGGGAGCAGCAGAGTGGATCTGTGTGCTCGGGACCAGCAGAGTGGAGCTGTGCTCAGGACCAGCAGAGTGGAGCCGTGTACATGGGACCGGCCGAGTGGAGCTGTGTGCTTGGGACCAAGCAGAGAGTGGAGCTGTGTGCACGGACCAGCAGAGTAGAGTTGTTTACATGGGACCAGCAGAGTGGAGCTGTGTGGAGCAGTGTACATGGGACCAGCAGAGTGGAGCTGTGTAATGGGAGCAGCCAAGTAGAGCTCTGTGCTTGGGACCAGCAGAGTGGAGCTGTGTGGGACACTGTGCTCGGGAGCAGCAGAGTGGAGCTGTGCTCGGGACCAACCGAGTGGAGCTGTGTGGAACTCTGTGCTTGGGCCCAGCCGAGTGGAGCTGTGTGGAGCTCTGTGCTTGGGACCAGCAGAGTGGAGCTGTGTGGGGCAGTGTACATGGGACCAGCAGAGTGGAGCTGTGTGGAACTGTGTGCTCTGGAGCAACAGAGTGGATCTGTGTGCTCGGGACCAGCCGAGTGGAGCTGTGTGGAGCTGTGCTCGGGACCAGCAGAGTGGAGCTGTGCTTGGGACCAGCAGAGTGGAGCTGTGCTCGGGACCAGCAGAGTGGAGCTGTGTGGAACTGTGCGCTCGGGAGCAGCGGCGCTGTGGGCTCGCAGACTCCCTTGGAACGGGGAGGGTGTCTAGTGTGTTTGCTAGTTTAGTGTTTTTAGGTAAAACCTATACCTTCTCATTTGGTCAAGAAGTCTGCTTCCCCACCCGTGGGCGCCGGCCAAGATGAGCAGCCCGACGTAGGCGCGCAGGTCGGTCTCGTCCATGCCCTTCCATCAGCCGTATCGTTGTCCGTATTTTCGACGACCGGCCTCCAGGTTAGTCATCTCCAGAATGAGCTTCTCGATCGCGGGGGTGAACAACACCTCTCAACCGCTCTAATAGTCCTCAAAGTCTTTGTCCAACACGTATTCGTCGTCAGAGTCGTCAGAGTACCGGTCGTCGTCCCAGTCGTCGTCGTCCTGGTCCCCAGGGTCTCAACGCTCATGGCTCATAGTTTTTTTTGTTTTTTTTCGCCGCCCCCGGTTGTGTTTCGGGCAGTGTGTTTGGGCACGCTTTCCGCTACACTTTCTGCGTCTCGGTCACGGGGGTGTCTTGGTGCGATCGCTCGAGACGTGGTCTTTCTTTTTTCTTTTTCTCATTAGTAGGCTTATTTTATCGCGTCTTCTTGCTGAGCGTAATACTGCTACTCTGCTCGGGCAGCCGCAGTCATTATGTTTTTTTTTTTTGTTCAACGGGTCACGGGGACCCGGTCTGCACAGCGCGAGGGCGCTGCGTATTCGGCGAGTATAGTTCCGAGTGGAGCGAGCGGCCTGTTTGACCCGGTCTGGACTGCGTGAGAAATTCCCCCGAGTACTTCCGAGCGGCCTGTTTGACCCGGTCTGGACAGCGCGAGGTCGCTGCTTATTCGACAAGTATAGTTCAGAGGGGAGCGAGCGGACGTCTTGACCCGGTCTGGACGGCGCGAGGGCGCTGCGTGTACCCGCGAGTTGTCAGACAGATGGGTGCGAGAGGGGCGAGTCCCATTGCACCTGGTCTGTTCGAAGAGAAGGGAAAGAAGCGTAAGTCATTATGACCCGCTCGGGGCAGCGGGAGGGTTAAGAAGGGAAGAAAACACAGACGCGCATCTTTAACCCCCCCCAGTGGGAAGAGGTGGAAGCCTCGCCACCCTCAAGAAGAGAAAAAAGAAAGAAACTCACCCCCGTTGCGCCACGATGGCTTAATTTTAACCCATAATAAAAACAATTCAAACTAAAGTTATTTGTCTCAAGATTCATCTTTATTTATAACTTGTAACAGTCTTTGAACATTTGTAAAGAACAAACTGTGTGGTGAAAAGATGCGGCTCTTGTTGCCTCATACAACGTTGATATTTTTTCACAAAATTTGATACCATAGAATCATTTCTTGTAAAATCATCATGATACAAAGACAGCACATTCTCAAAAGATCGACCGCAGGCTCGATGACACAAATAGAAAACACAATGCTGACCACATTTGGTAGACAGGGTATGCTGAAACTGTTGTGTATGATATGAAATGGTTTCACAGCGTTTTTTTTAAAAATTCCAAGATACTTTTGGGGTAATGTGAAAACTCTGGTGAGAATCCAGAAGAATCAAAAAAGCTAGCTTTCTGGCCATCCTCAAGAGTGAGCGTCAGCCAGTGCTCCCCAGGTTCGTGTGCAGGGTGGGTGTTAACTATCATGTAAGCAGGTAGTCTAAAGGACTGTCTCAGTAAAGGTAACTGATCCAAAGCCCACACGCCACAAAAGGAATCTCCAAGTAAATGTCGCAATATTCTTTCCAATTCATGGTTGTTCATTTTGCCTTAGTAATAGTCCACCAACACTTGTCGTTTTGAATTTATTTCCAGAATAGATTCGTAACACGCGTAAACAATGAGAGTTGTGGTATGAGGTAAAGGCACTCGGAATCTCATTTCAAGTCTTAAACTTCTGTTGGAAATAGTTGACAAAGCGTCGCTGTCTTCACTGGCATTGAGGTTGAAAACAAACAAAGAGTAACCTTGCTGAAATTCTTCCCGGTTGATGTTCAGAGGTAAATCTTTTAGATGTCTCCCTGTGGCGGTAAACATATAAAATTCTCGGACAGACAACCCGTGGTTAAATTGAGGCTGGAAAGCTTTGGCTGGGACTTGTCTCCCGTCCTGACACAGTGCCATGTATTCTACATCATTGTGTATAAAATTGAAGGGTGACAGGTCTCTCTTTCCTGTGAAGGCTTCATGGTTTA